AAATTGCCTGTTTGATATTATTTTCAGCTTTCTAAGTCACTGGCACTTTTGTTTATTTATAACAGGGATTTTGAAAAATCAGTTCGAAACGAACACATCATTTGTTTCATACAAAATTCCGTAATGAACCATTTGTGTTTGTTTGTTTCCTAAACCAAAAAATTGACATAAAAGATCTAGAAGGTGATAATACCTAATTTTTCTTAACTAACCTGTAAATGAAGGGAATTTTGTGGCTCCATTCCAGTTAGTTTTTGTTACTGCGCATCATTTAAGCTGTGAGTACTGTATAACAATTCACACAGAAATTCCAAAATTGCTAGCAAATGGAGAATGAATTTTTTTTTTAAATTTTATTTTATTTTTTTATTTTGTTAATAACCTTGGGTGAATAATATGGCGGGTTACATTTAAACCACCATCATCCCTAGAAAATTCACTTAAGTCAAAAACTTAGGTGATGAAACTAGGCGGCTAGAACTACGCATTTAAATATATTTAAAATGGACAACGAACAATTTATCTGCTACCTATATACAGAACAGGAAAACCGTCAACGGAAGTCGTAAAATGAGAGACAAAAGACAGAATAAAGTAGCACTTACTTAGCGAATTTGTTTTCACGCAAACGTTGTCAATTTTCTACGAATTAAAGAATACGAATTTTTCCAATATAATAATAATTATTTTTTTAAATTATACAGTGCGCCGTGATAGCCAATTACGTCATCGCGTCTAGATTGAGTCCGAGGCATGGTGATTTTTACGTGGATTTTTTCAAAAATCTCGAACAGCGTGAGTGATACACGAAAACCCTAAATACAAAAATTGTAGCCCTCGAAACGGTCTATAACACTGTTTGAAGCGATTAGCCATATTTTTGAAGAATTTTGATTTACGGTTAATAATTCACTCTCGAAGTCGTAAAACGAGAGACAAAAGGCAAAATAAAGCGAATTTGTGTTCATGCAAACGATGTCAATTTTCTCCGAATTAAATGTTTCCAACCCCGTTAAAGAATACGAATTCCCGCGAACCAAAACCAAATATCAACGACCCGTCCTTAAAATAAACGTACGGGAACGTTAGTGGCAACTGTTGCCAAATCTGTTGCACGTGTTTGTTGTTTTATTTCTCGGATGTTTTGAGCGGCCGCGTATTTTTAGCGATACGAAAGGGCACCTTAAAGAGGGTATTTAGTCGTGTAAAAATTGGGGACATTTGTCTTCTACGCGTCGCGGACTAACATATGGCGACGAGGAGTTTTATAGACTGCGAATGTTAATGGGGAAGATTTGTATTTCGGGTCAGCGTAGATCTGCGATTATTTTCAGCGCTTGGGAGATGAATGAAAACTTCATTTAAATCAGGGGACATTATGCAGATAAAACAATTTTGATTTTTTCATGGCTTACCCAGTTTTTTGTTCTTAGCAGTTACGTGGTGTGTTCAAAAAGTATGGATATTTCAAATGGGTTACATTGAGGAAGGAAAACGACAAATAATTAAATTATTGGTATTATTGCTAAACATTTTTCACATAGCCTCATTTATTTTCTATACACCGGACAATATTTCCTTTCAATTTCGCATTCGTGATAAGATCGAGGTTTTCTCTGTTTAGATCTTGTAAAACGATATTTTCTCTTATCACTTGAAAACTTTCAGGCCTATAATAAACTTTATTTGTTAAATAAAAAATGTCACAAGGATTCATGTCGGGGCTGTTGGCAGGCCATTTGGTAGTTCCTTGCCTACCTATCAAACGTCTATATTTATTATTTAGATGATCGGTATCCAGTTCAATATTATGTGGATGTGCGCCATCTTGATGCCAAAATAAACGTAAATAATTCCTAACTGGCACATTTTCCAACCAAGAATCCTTCGTATATAATTCTTAATGTGTATTCTTATATTATTTTGATTATAAATTTTCCAACTTTTTGAGATCTTCTATACATTTAAGTGCAAAATTCGATGTTCTGCCTGAAGAAGAAAGCAGAATTTAAAGTCATAATGACAACATATGTGGCGAAAAAAAAAGAAATAGGAAGTTTTCATCCCTCGTGTCTGGTCCATTTTTATCCACTGCCCGGATAATATCTCCTCTTCAAATATAAATAAAGACGTCAAAATCCACTACGCTCGGCGATAAATTACTATCATATGCGAGGCAAAATTATTTGCTGTAAAACAATAGAGGACAAAAACGACGGGAAAAAAGCGTCACGGGAGAAAAATGCCGACTTTTGATTCGACGAGAGATTTATCATCCTAAATGTCCGGGGATTCGTCGATAAACAAGGATTACGGAGCGAAATTCCCTATCGGCGTCTGGCAGATGGTGATGAATGTAAGGTATTTAATCGATTACGCGCTTTTCCCGATATCCGGACTAGTAACCGGGTATCTCCGTAAAGAAGGATGCGTTTTTATCGACGGAAATTTTACGAGCTTCGCTAAATAGAAAACGCGATCGTTAGAAAAATAAAATCCAAATGCCATTCTACTAAGGAGTGAAAAGTGAACACCAGAAAATAAAGAAGCAGTCTTGAAATCTGGTTTTTGAAAAAAAAAAAATTCTACCTTAAAAGTTCGTGCTCCATCTCGAAATTGCTAATGTTTAGACTTTTAACTGGAATTTTTAATATTTGGTCTTATAACTCGAAATTTTGTGCTAAAATTCATACATATCAATCGAAATTTTAAAAATTTTAGGTTACGGATCGAAATGTTACCCAAAACCTTCGTATTTTATCCGGAAATTTTGAAATTAGTGTTATAACTAGAAATTTTATGCTTTAGATAATTTTACCTGGGAGTTTTGCCTTAAAATTTTCTGTTACGTCTATAAATTTGTATTTTAGCTCTAAATTTTAACCAACAGTTTCCTGTTTTATCTGGGAATTGAAAATTCCATTCTTATCTCAAAATTTTGAAATTTGGTGTTATTGCTTAAAAATTTATGCTAAGAGTTATACTTGTAACTCGAAGTTTTAAAGTTTATGTTGACCTCGGTCTTAACAAATAAAATCTTTGAAAAATATCTTCCGAAAAGCTTTCTACACGAAAACATAAAAAGGATATAGACCTGATTCTAAAATTTCGACTTATAAATCAGATTTTTAAAATTTGGTCCTATAACTCAAAATGTTTTGCTAAAATTTATACATATAACTCAAAATTTAAATAATTTTGGGTTTTAGCTCGAAATTTTACCCAAAACCTTCGTATTTTATCTGGAAATTTTGAAATTAGTGTTATAACTCGAAATTTTATGCTTTAGACTCATATAATTTTAACTGGGAGTTTTGCCTAAAAATTTTATGTTACGTCTAAAAGTTTTTGAAATTTGGTGCTATAGCTTGAAAATTTATGCTAAAAGTTATACTTGTAACTCGAAGTTTTTTAGTTTTTGTTGAGCTCAGTTAACTCAGTATTAACAAATAAAATCTTTGAAAAATATCTGCCAAAAAGCTTTCTACATGAAAACATAAAAAAGATATAGACCCTATACTAAAATTTCGACTTCCAACTCCAATTTTTAAAATTTGGTCTTATAACTCAAAACGTTATGCTAAAATTTATACATATAACTCGAAATTTTAAAAATTTTGGGTTTTAGCTCGAAAACCTTGGTGTTTTTTCTGGAAAATTTGAAATTAGGCGTTATAATTCGAAATTTTATGCTAACATTTAGACATATAATTTTAACTCGTCGTTTTGCCTTAAAATTTCCTGTTTCGTCTCTAAATTTGTGTTTTATCTGGAAATTTTAAAATTAGGTGTTATAACTCGAAATTTTATGCCAAAATTTAGATTCGGATATTTAAAATCCTAGTGGTAACTAGTATTTTTACCTTCAAAATCCCATTCTTATCTCAAAATTTTCAAATTTGCTGTTACAGGTTGAAAATTTATACTAAAATTTTTACTTGTAACTCGAAGTTTTCAAATTTTTGTTAAGCCCAGTTATTAAAAAAAATGTCTTAGCAAATAAAATCTTTGAAAAATATCTGCTGAAAATTTGAAATTAGGTGTTATAATTCGAAATTTTATGCTAAAATTTAGACTTATCTAATTTTAACTCGCAGTTTTACCTTAACATTTCCTGTAAATTGCTAAATTTTTAAATTAGGTGTTATAACTCGAAATTCAATTCTACTTATAACCCAAAGTTTTTAAAATTCGTGTTTTAAATTGAAATTTTAAATTAGAATTTGGTAGTTTATCTCGAAATTTTAAAATTAGGTTGTAATTTTATGCTAGAATATAGAATTTAAAACTCTCTTTTTTAACTCGTTATATGATGAAATTTGTCTTTCTATAACTGTGTACTAAAATTAATATGGAAATTCCAAAATTGCGTGCTATAACTCGAAATTTTATGCCAAAATTTGGACTCGGTTATTTAAAATTCTTGTTGTGATTCGTTTATCTTTAAAAAATCCATTTTAATCTCAACATTTTCAAATTTGGTGTTATAGTTCGAAACTTACGAACAATACGAACAATACGAAATTGTAAAATTTTTGTTTTAACTTCTAATTCTGTATAAAAATTTTTAATGTTAAAACGCAAAGTTTAATACTAAAACTTACGACACAACTGGAATTTTTAAAATTTTATCTTAAAATTTACAGTTTTATCTCAAAATTTAGACTCATAACTCGAGGTTTTAAAAGTTCATGTCTAAACTCAAAATACTATCAAATCTAGAGGTACATACAGTGTGTCGCAATAGTATATCAACGGTTAATATCTTCAAAACTATGCTATGCTGTTTTAAAATTTCTTCATTTGCAATGCAATGCAATGGGGTAAAATCGTACTGAGTGTAACATTTAAAAATACACAACTTTTTTTTTGCAATATTCGAGCTCACTATATCTCTACTCTAAGTGAAGCCTACAATACAGCACTGTATTTTACTCATTAAAATATCAACCGACAGTTGGCATATATTATTATCACCACCAAATGAGCTTGGGACTTACCAGCAACTTGCAGTGTCGCGTTCCTACTAGTAGCCGAGCCGGCAGCGTTTTTGGCCACACACCAATACACACCCGCGTCCTGTTCCTTTTTACTGTTCATAGTCCGCAGGAAGAACAACGATCCGGCGGGAAGCAGCACCCGATGGGATTTGTTGTCCGTAGGCGAGGTTTTCACCAACTCGCCATCTTTGTACCACTCGATGACGGGATCAGGTCGCCCCTCTGCTTTGCAGTTCAGGGTGACCGGTTCGTTTTTGGCCACGATGATGTCCGACGGATGCTCGGTGATCCTCGGCGAACGATATTGACCTGAAATTGCAAATCTGTTTATTATCAGTAAAAAAGAGGACACCTGGCAAATACAAAACCAAAAAATAAATGACCAAAACGAAGACAAGTTGGTAAGTGATGATAATCACATAATTACGTAGAAAGGAGCAAAATGATATAGAAATTATTGAAAATCTTCAAATCAACAATTATAGGCCCATCATTATTCTGAGTTGTATTCCTAAAGTGTTCGAAAAGTTTTGTCTGCTGGTATGAAAGGCCTTATCGACCAACAGTTTGCATTTCTCCCCCATCGTTCCACTGAGCTAAAATTGCTCACATTCACAGATTTTCTGCTGGGATTATTGGAGGGGGGTCTCACGTTCATGCCATTTACACAGACTTTCCAAAGGCTTTTGATCATCGAGTAAATCATCAAATCTTAATAAAAAAAAAAGCGAAACATTGGAACGCACAACTGAAAGAGTGCAAATTGTGCGCGTCCAGAGCTTCCAATCCACCGAAATTAGAGTTCCTTCCTGTGTTCCACAAGGATCGCACCTGGGACCCCTGCTCTTCGATGTCTATGTGAATGATATTGCCTCGTGTTTTCATCACGCATGTTTCCTATTATTTGCAGACGACTTAAAATTCTATATGAGAGTCCATAATGCAGTCCGATTTAGATCACCTATCTCTATGGAGCGATTATATATACATCTCTGATTCCAGGTCAGTGAATTGTGGTGTACCTAAGAGAAGTTTACTCGGTCCTTTATTGTTTATAGTGTTTATAAATCATGTATTTTCATCGTTCCCCCATACTTACTTTGCCCTTTTTGCGGATGATGCAGTTTCTACCCTTTCTGCAGCATCGTCTGAGCAACTTAGCATTGCAACCAAGACAACGGTGGAGCAAATGAAACATTGTGCAGAAATTAACGAATTGATGTTGAATAAAAGTAAAACTGAGATGATCGCCTTTTCAACACGGGATTGAAATAAGAGTTTAGTAGTACGCTTTAATGAAAGCACAATTCAACAGAAAAGTGTTGTAAAATTCCTCGGAGTTTATGTAGATTCGAGACTCTCCTAGTTCGAACAGGTGGACCACATTCTCAGAAAACTTTCTGTTTACTGCTTTGTCATATGGAGGCTCCGCCATCAGGTTTCTTTCCCCCTGTTAAAAATGTACTATTTTTCGTATGTCTATTCGTGTCTCAACTACGCCTTGGTTTGTTGGGGAGACTCCCCACGTGCGGAGCATGTTTTTAGGATGCAGAAACGCATTTTTTATGTCGGAACCTATTTCCACAACACTCTTTATTGACACTTTCTAGTATGTACATACTAAATTGTGCCACGTATGTAAAAAGTAACTCTAATCTTTATTTGCCCTCAAGAAACTCAGATATTCAGTACAGTTTAAGACCGAATCTTAACATAAAAATACCTACACATCGACTGCCTCTTACAGCAAATAGTCCCTTTGTTTTGACTGTAAAAATGTATAATAAATTGCCTATCGAACTGAAGGAGATAACTAGTCAAACAAAATTACAATACAATTACAATATTAAGGATTTTCTTTGGTGTGATACCTTTTAATACGTATTCGTTGGTTGTTATTGTTTATATATTTGTTATTTATACATCAGTATTACTTATTATTATTATTATTATTAATTTACTAATTATACTAAGATAATTTGATACTTTTAGATTATGCTGACAATATCCAACACTTGTAAATCAAGTCTTATGGAAATAAAGCTATCTTTATCTTTATCTTTATTTAAAAGGAATGGAACTAAATATTAATAAATGTAGACCGTTATTGCAGGACTCCGAAATAAGGGATCTTGGAGTGTTACTCGATATTAAGTTGACTTACACACAGCATATTTCATCGTCAATCACTTCAGATTTTGGGCTTTATTAGGGGTTGTACAGTGGACTTCCAGAGTGTTCCGTCTCTCAGATTACTGTTCTGCTCCCTAGTGCGTCCTGGTTTATTGTTCCAGTGTGTGTTCACCTTCGTACAACGTCCAAATACAGGCCATAGAAGGAGTGTAGCATGGGTTCCTTTGCGTCGAAGATCCAGACGAGAATATGACAATTTTTGCATGAGTTTGCACGAGACGTTTTCCACGAGCCGTTATGAAAATTATATTAAAAAGAAGTAGATCAATTGCGAACAGTAACGTCAAATCGATTATTGACTGGCAATTTGCGGTAACCGGTACGGGATTTACATATGAGGTATGTTGTGTCAAAGAACATCAGCCTAGTCGCCATAAATAAGGCTGTTAATGATTCCGCTCAGCGGAGCGCAAAATTGGTAATGCAGAAAATCGACGGATAATACCACCAGTTAGTCGTAAAAGCTTCTTTTTTTGTGCTGAAAAAAGCTTCCACGGTGTTTACCGTTACGCTTTTTTAAAGTGTGCATAATTTTTCGATTTCTCGGGCAAATTTCGTATTTAAATGTTCCTTTAAGGGCGATCTTTGAGCAGCTCGCAAGAATTTTACGACCCGAAAACGTCCGGCTTTTTAACCAGATGCATTTTTTAACTCGGCCGGGTTATTACGTCAATTGAGCGAATTTACATATTTTCTCAAAAGAAACTCAAAACAATGTTTAAATCATCCGAGATTTTCATCTATCAATTCTTGAGTTTTTGATTCTTGGAAATGAAGCAGAAAGAGGAATCTAGAAGAACAAATAAGAACGAAGCAACAATTAGAAAGAGAAAATGCTGAATGAGACCTCCAATAAGAAAAACGGAGGGAAAAAATCTAATATCTATAGAATTATCACATGCAGAACAAATCTTCTAGTTCTAAATGAAAACCAACTTCATTTTCATGACAGTTCAGTTGTATCTATAATTTTTGCGGGACTCAGTCGTAATAGGCTTATATATATAACTATATTAAACTTCATAGAAAAATATACCACCAAAGGAGGTTGAGAATAAGATGTTAGCCAGAAATATGGGCCATAAATACAAGAAAAAAGTGAACACATTAAGAGAAAAAATATTTCCAAAGACCTAAGTTGGAATATGTACAATATGCGATGAGTGTAAATTCTGCATATTAAAGAGAAAAACTTTTTTCTTTTTAGTCTCTAACTGATGGATGAAAATGAAAATAAAAGGGGCAACCAACTAAAATTAATAATATACCAGGAACTTTAAACAAGCTTTATGCTTCCTATGGAATGAAGGACAACCTGAGGAAAGTATAAAACTATTTTTTTAATAAATTATTTTGTCTTACACTAGCTTACTAAATAATTAAAATTAATTCACATTCAACAGATCATTTTAAGTGGTTAAACAAACTTTTAGAAATACTGAACCCAAGAAAATGTACACAATATCATTATATAGAGCTTTCCTAGGACGTTGCTGTATACTTCAATATTAAAATGTTTAAAAACAACAGAAAGAATGCGTAATATTTTTGGAATACTTCAAAGTAAAATATTTTTGTTTGTATTTTGTTGAATTATGCTGAAAAATAAGTAACTATTTATAAGGATATATTTATCATTTATTTTTAATGTCATACCGGAGTAACACTAATTTATATCTCAGTTTTACTCAGCCAAGTTATTGGTCTAAAGAATGAGTAGGGAAACAAGGCTGAAAGGCTGAAACACAAATATAATATAATAGAAGGTTGATTTCAATTTTAATTTAAGTGAAGGATGGCATTAAATCGATTGATTTGTCGACCATATATAAACCACACAAAATCTTAAAGGCACAATATATAGACGAACTGATACTGAAGTAATTTAAAAAGACCTAATTACACACTCTGAATGAGCACGGTAAGATTGATAAAATGCCTTCTCTCTTTTTCATGGCAACACCGGCAGCACAATAACAGAAAAAAAAATTACTTCTTCCCACACTTATTAATGTATCCTATTTTTCTCATGTTTGTTAAAGATATACTGTGCTTTTTTTTTAAACTTTACTTTTCGAAAAAATATCTGAAAGCATAAAATTTAAATCTACTTAGGTAGGTCCAGTCACTTTTACTATAAGGCATTATCGGCTGGGACGATGTGTACAAAACCATTGGAGGTTATTCAGAAATTCTTCCTGAGAGTTATATTTCAACTTGACCGACCGTACCCCTCAGATCAGCTTTTTAAGTTAGCAGAGTATCAACTATTCGACAACTATACTATAAAGTAACTATAATTTATATGCAAAAAACCCATCATTTTACAATCACATCTTGTGAACACTTTACTAGAGAAAAAAGGAAAGAAAACTTAACACAACCATGTGCAGAAAAAAAGATAGGGCAGCGGACATTTCTACATGTTGGAAATAAATTATACAACATACTTCCTGCTGAAATGAAAATGATTATAACATCTAATTGGTTATTTTAAAGTTTAAGTTTAAAGTAACACGTAAATATTTTTAAATGACATTTGGTACAGTTGCTAAACTTTTTAGGATTTATTTAACGAACTAAAACTTAGAATTACATTGTGTTTAGGGGTGGGTAACACAGTGGGAAAAATTTGCCCCAACTTTTTTGTTTGGCGAATTTTCGTAATTTGGACTACAGAATTTGAAAATCTTAAGTTTTCTACGTAAATAAGGTACCCTGTCACACCTCGCTAGAACACACCGTTTTTGAGGAAAAATACTTTTGAAAATTGAATGACAAAATATTTATTATTAATTACAATGAACGATTGACATTTAATTTTTATTTACTCACAACAGAAACAAGTGAACGCGTACGTACGTTATTTACTATAAAAATTCCGATATTCAAATTCTGCAGTCCAAATTACGAAAATTGGACCAACAAAAAATTGTGGCAAATTTTTCCACGCCTCCCCTGTGTTACCCACCCCTGAAGACAATCCAATACTAAAAAGTTTAGTAACGGTACCAAAATTAATTTATTTTTATTTTTTATTAATTTGTTTCGAAAATATTTACAAAAAATCGCCATCACCTCTTCAAATTCAACAGCCTGTATGTTAAAAACTAAGA